AGAAAGGTGGCGAAGCAAGGGAGAGGGGGTGGAGAATGTTCTGGAAAGAGGCTGACATAAGTTAGCTTACTTCTGTACTCTCTGCATCTCAAGAGGCTATCTCAGGGCTTGGGGAAAATGGGGGCACTTAGCTGAAGCCCAAGGGACTAGTGACGTGTTAGTCTGAGAAGCATAAAGGAAGGACTAGGAGAAGGCAGTCCTCTTCAGGCCTGTGGCCTGTCCCTCCACTCATGGCAAGAAGACCATTCTCTTGGGTTGACAACATGGCTCTGTGGGCAAAGGCACTTGCCACCAAGCCCAACAACCTGAGTTTGATAACTGTAATTAACCTATAACAGTGGAAAGAGGAGAGTACTTCTATACACGCTGTGCACAGCCCCTGCCGAAATAAATAACATGTAATAAAAATACAAGTCTTGGGGGCTGGAGAGATAGCTCAGCTGTTAAGGGCACTGACTGACCTCTTCCAGAGGTCCTGAGTTCAACTCCCAGCAACCACATGGTGGCTCACAGCTATCTATAATTGGATCCAATGCTATCTTTTGGTGTCTGAAGACAGCGACAGTGTATTGATATACATAAAATAAATAAATCTAAAAAAATATTTACAATTCTTATCTTTTTATCCCGACATAACAGCACCAACTTTGGCTACCAGCAGCCGTGGCAGGCTCAGAGGTTTGTGCCTGTCCCCTGTAGGCTGGCGCTGAACTAACTGCTCCATGAGTTAGGATAGTCAGGAACCTCAGTCTTCTGTAAAATGGAGCTAACACCAGGCTAGCGTTTGGATTCTGGCACAGAGTAGACAGGTGACTTCAGGACATGGAGTTGTCATCTGAGTAAGAGGTGTCACTGGAGTTCAGAGCCCAGGCCCTGGTAAGCTCAACAGGCTAGTTGGGTCACTTAATAAGCCAATTAGGCAGACACATTAATAGTGAAAAATCAGAAAAACAGCTTTATTTATCTGGCCACACTGAGGAAAGGGATAAAGCTACCCAGTGACCCTCTTCATCCTTTCACAGTTTCAAATTCAATCCTAGCAGGAAGTCCTACAGAGATCCAGAAGTGTGCAAGACATACACAGTCTGAGTCAAGCAATGGAGTCCTGCCTATCATGGACCCAGGATTGTCTCAGCCCTAGCCTCTCCTACAAGGTGGTGTGTGAGCTTGTAAAACTTCTTTGAAGCCCCTGCTCTGACTGTCCTGAGCCTCTGGCTTTTTTCTCCCAGCCTGCTTCACTCCTATGGGGTTCCAATTTCTTGGGGTCTACTGTTTTAGTAGTTCGATGGGTAAAGGCAGCAACTCAGTGACCCTTTGGAATATCCTCACTCCTGCCGGGCCGGTTACAGGATGGTAACCCACACTTCCAGGCCATCTGACAGCTGCCTCTCAGCCATCACCCTGAGAGTCTCTCCAACCTTTCTCTGCTTGATTTAAGATCTCCACAGTAACTCTTGGCCACACCCTCCTACTTCTCCTAGCAACAGCACACAGTTCTGACACCCCTAGAGCACCCTTGTTGGGAACTTGGTGGCAGGTTGCACTGTGAGCTCAGGGTACTGATCTGTCTACAGTACTTGTGTTGTAGTTCGTCTGAATTGCTCATCTGTCTAATCTGCAGTGGGAGCCCAGGAAAGACAAGCTGAGCATAAGAAAGTACGGTTTCTGGGCCCCCAAATCCAGAACCTTCTCGTCATAGGGAGGAAGGATGTTCAGCATGGGTGTGCCACAGTGTCTAGAACCAGGACCTAAACAACTATCTGTTCCCCTCCATCCATTCATTCTCCAACTGCCTGCACTTCCTCCGTGAACCACTCTGCAGCTGAAGTCTTGGCTACTCCAGATATCTTTCCTTTCTCAATGATGGACAAACCTCGGTGAAGCCTGGAGCTCAGAGTGTCTTATGCTGGCCATCCGGTATTACTATGAGAGAGGCACACAAGAGCAGTCACTTGAGAGAGGGGTGGTGGTGCACACCTTTAATGCCAGCCCTGGGGAGGTTGAGTCAGGAGGAACTCAGCAGTTCAGAGGCCAGCCTGGGCTACACAATGAAACTCTGTGTTGAAAGAGGGAAAGAAAAGAAAACAAAGAACAGAGCTGGGTGTGTTTGTTTGTGCTTAAAATACTGGTTGGTACTTTGGAGGCTGAGACAAAGGGGCAAGGAGCAAGTTCAAGGTCAGCCTGAGCTATAAAAGGAGACCTTGTTTCAACCTTCAGGGTCCAAAACAAAACAAAAACAAATGAAACAAAGAACAGAAAGGGTTGGGTAAGGAGGGGAAAAAGAGAAAAACGAAAAGAGCAGTAAGTAGCTTCAGCACTGGCATGATGCTGGGCTCTGAGGGCTCAGTATCCTTCATCCTCAATGCAGACCTGGGTGTAATCAGAGGCTCGGAGGGACTCTGTAACCTGCCCAAGCTAGTAAGTGGCCAAACTGGAATTTCAAGCTTGCTCTTAAACAGCAGGAAACCTTGCCTTTTTTTTTTTTTTTTTTTAAAGTGCATCTCCACAGGGTATAGATTTGATCCCCAATGGTGGACGGACAAGCTTCACCCTAGACACTATCAGAGGTGCTGTAAGTGGGAGAAGAAGGGAAAGAGGGAAGAGCAAACGGGCTGGGTTAAAAACAGCATGTAAGCCAGCACGGTGGCACACATCCTTAATCCTAGCACATGGGAGGCAGAGGAAGGTAGATCGCTGTGAGGTTGAGGCCAGTCTGGTCTATAAAGCAAGTTACAGGGCAGCCAGAGAGGTACACAGAGAAACCCTGTGTCTAGAAAACCTGTGTTTTGAAAAACGACAGAACACACACACACACACACACACACACACACACACACACACCACACCAGTAAAACAAAACAAAGGCTGGAGAGATTGTTCAGTGGTTACTGCTTAGTGCTGGCTACTCTTTCTGAGAGGACTTGGACCCACATGGAAAAAGGCTGGGTAGTGATGGCACACCTTTAATCATAGCACTGAGAAGGCAGAGGCAGGTGGATCTCTGTGATCCTGGTGTACAGACCGAGTTCCAGGTCAGCCAGGGCAACACAAGAAACCTTGTCTCAAGCCAACCAACCAACCAACCAATCCCAAAACCAGAGGCTTGCTTGCTTGAATGGCCTGCAAGAGGAGAGTAAGTTCTCATGCTAAAACACTGGGTACCATCAACTTTAGGGATCTCTGAAGACACTGAAAGGAACTTAAGAGCTTTGGAGTGGTGTTGACTAAGATGGGTGACCACAGACTGGGAAAAATGCATGTGGTCCCAGGGCAAACCAAGATGCCATCTAGTTCCTGAAAATATAAAAAAGGAAAAGTATGCGAGATGGCTAGGGACTCCAGTTACTGAGGGGATAAGGTGGCAATGCCACTTGCTAGGACTTTCTGCAACCTCTTAAAGAAATCTTCATAAAGGGTTATAACAACACGTAAAACGAAATCAAATGTCTAGTATGAACTCTATTTTATAGTAGTATCAGCCAAGCAAGAAAGTTGTGGAAGTTGGGAGGCAGAGGCAGGCGGATTTCTGAGTTCGAGGCCAGCCTGGTCTACAAAGTGAGTTCCAGGACAGCCAGGACTACACAGAGAGACCCTGTCTCAAAAAACCAAAAAAAAAAAAAAGAAAGTTGTGGAAGACATAAAATGCTACCAGTAGTCACGACCCACCAGCGCTTTGTCTCCTATGGTTACTTTCCTACACTTGCCTAGTTTTGCTTTTTATTTCATTTATTTATTTTTGTTTTTTTTTTTTTTTGAGAAAGGGTTGGTACGTGTTACAGCCTTGGCTGTCTTCACTTTGTAGATCAGGCTGGTCTCAGCGATCCACATGCATCTGCCTCTGCAGTGCTGGATCAAAGGGGTGCGCCACCACGCCCGGCTTCCTTTGCTGCTTGAAAAAAAAAAAAGAAACTTATTTAGTAACTGTGTTTGTGTGGGCGCGCGTGTGGGAGGTCAGGTGGCAACTTGTAGGAGTTCCTTCTATCAGTCCACCACGTGGATTCCTGGGTTCGAACTCGGCCATCAGACTTGGCAGCAAATGCCTTCCCCGCTGAGCATCTCCCTTGTCTTTTGCCGTTTGGTCCGCACCCGTAAGCCAAAGAGCTAGTTGGGCTGAAGGAACAAACAGGGTGAACGCGAACAGTAGCGCACAGCCTCCGACAGCCTCCGAGGCCGAGAGGCGCACGCCGAACCCTCAGCAAGCGCAAACCTGCGGACGTGGAACCCGGCCACGCCGCCACACACGCCCCCGGCAGCCCCGCGCGGCGTCGCGCGCACCCGAGGTGCCGCCCCCTCGTGACGCGAGCTAGGGGCGAACCGGCACAGGCCCCGCCCCACCCCCTCCGATTGGTCGGTGCGCTGTCACCACGTCGCGGGAAGCTGGCAGGGTGTGTGTGTGTGTGTGTGTGTGTATGTGTGTGGGGTTTGCTTTGTCATTCGTACCCCGGCTGACGCGGCCGGTATGGCTGCATGCTGGACTGCCCTCAGAAGGGGCCGCGGCGCTGCTCCCGGGACGCCCTCTTACATAAGGACGCGGCTGACTGAAGCACATGTCAGCGCAAGGTCCCCACACGCAGCATACCACGCCGTTCGGTTCTCACACGCCAGGCGGGAGCCCGCGGCGCCGCACCGCACGGTGTACTCCGACGTGGGCCTCCCCACAGCGAGACGCAGCCGGATAACCGCGAAGCGCACCTTCGCAACAAGGCATAATATAGGATGTTATATTTATAGGGCCTATTTATAAGCCTCTATTTAACTCTTTTCTGATAGGCCCAGCCACGCGTCTATGCCTTATCCTGATTGGTGTGTCCTTCTGTCCTTCAAAGAGGCGGGCTTAAGGGGCCGTGTTGCCTCAGCAGGCCCCGGGATTGGCCTTGAGCGGCGCGGCGGCGCCTTCGATTGGCTACGTGGGTCGTCCGTCCGAGCAAAGGAGGCGGGGCGGGCGGCTGGCTAGTGCGGGGCGGGCGGGCCCCGGAATTGTCATTTCTTTGTTTCCGAAGGCGGAGGAGGCTCGGCGCCCCCCTCCTGCCCCCCCTCCCCCGGTGCTGGCTCCATGTCTGTGTGACCGGCCGCAGGGGTAGAATTCAGGCCCGACGCGGGGCAGGCGGCGGCGGCGGCTGAGGTAAGAGGCGGCGGCGGCGCGGCTCGGGCACCGGCCCCCCAGCGGGAGGATGAAGCGGCGGAACGCCGACTGCAGTAAGCTCCGCCGCCCCCTGAAGCGGAACCGGATCACCGAGGGTATCTACGGCAGGTGAGCGGCGGCGCCCGGCGTGGGCCAGCGGGTCCCGGGCGCCGCTCTGAAGGGGCCCGGCCCCGTTATGTAACCCCCCGACTAGGCCGCATGCCCGCGCCGGGGGCTCGCCTGAGGCGCGCCGCCCGCGGAGCGCTGGGCCAGTCAGCCGAGGGTCCGCCCCGGGCCACGGGGTGTGGCGAGGGCCAGGCGGAGGGCGCGGCGGGCGCGGGCGGGAGCCACGGGGCCGCCGTTGGCGGTGGTGTGCCGGGGGGAGGGGCGGCACCCCCGCGGCCCGGAGCCCAGAAGCCCGGGGGTCCCCAGCAGGCTGTGCGCCCGGCCCCCTACTCAGCCCGGGTCACGCTGGGCTCGGGAGTTGGCTGCCCGAGGCTCGTGGACGCGTGCGACGGGGAGAGCGAGCCGCCAAAGTTAGGAGCTGCCAGGGGCCCGGGACCCTCGGGCTCGGGGCGGGGCCACGCCGGCTACTCTTCTGCCCTTTGCTACCTCACGGGATCCCTACCTTGGCCCGGAGCGCCAAGGCTGATACCCCCAAATCATGCCGGTGTCTCCGCTCCAGACCGAGGCTTCTCTCAGTTCCTCAGCAAACATTTTGACAATTGCAAGCAGATACATTGCTCAGAACCTTTAGCAGGGATTCTCTCCCAACTCAGGTTTGGGGATTTTTTTTTAACCCCCCTGTTCATGAAGGAAAGTGTTGTCCCTTTAAGTAGAAATTGAATCCACTCTTCCTGGAGAGAAGGACAACAGGTTCATGGGGCATTTCGGTGACGGTCACAGCTTCCCCAAGCCCAATTTGTGTGTGGCGGTTATTTTCTGGGAATGCCTATTTCAGTGGCGAAGTAATTAGTTTACAAAAGAGAGTGCTCAGCGTGTGGCCATAGGCTTTACTTGAGTCCTCTTGGCGCCTCACGGTTTAGTTCTTGCTGAATCTTGGAGAAATATGGGAGGTACCTGGTGACAGCCAAGTTGTAGTTAGCATACTGTACACCTTGCACATGCGGTTGTTTACACGTGTCAGGCGGCTGCCCTCCACAGGCAGGTGACTTACCTAAATGTGAAGGGGGAATTCTTTAACTTTCAAAGGAATAAGAAGTCACAAATCCTAGGATAGACCCTATGTAAGGAGCCATCGGTCATATTCATTCAACAAACGTGCGTACTATTTGCTCAACAGTCAGTCAGGACACAGCTGTTAGTAAAACTGATGAGCATGGTTGTGAATCAGATGTAACAATAAGTAAAGTTGAAAAAGCAAACCCCACATTTCCAGCCGATTGGATGGGTGGAGGCAAGCCTGCGTACTTACTATAAATTCTTGAATGAAGGAAGGCTTTTTTCCTTCGCCATTGAAAACATTAGAAGAACTTCCCATTAATAGCAGCTCGAGAATAGAAAATAGAAAAAGTATGTTAAAGTTGGCAGGTTAGGACCCTGTGGTATTTGAATTTCTATTCACAGTCACATAAGATGAGCCCCCCTCATGACAAGATTGGAAACAGCTGTGTTGTTTGCCTGGCATGTTTTAGCTTGTTTTTTTTTTTTTCCTATTTAAACAAACACCTGGTTTATGACTTGAACCTCAGCAGCTTAGCAGTTGATATGGAGCTCCTCTTTTAATGATCTGTTGTTATCCTAATGGGTTTTAGACTTTGAATTACCTTACCCTAAAGGTTAACAGTAAATACTCTGTCTGTCATTCAGTTTCATGTGTAAAACGTCAAAAAACTAAATGGTGCTTCAGCTCCCAGTTCTGTCTGCTCTCAACTCTGTTGGGCTTTGTTAAATATTAATAAAGGAACATAAATATGTGTCTACTTGTCTTTCTTGTTTGAGGCACAGAGTATTTCATTTCTCCTGTCTCTGTTTCTTAGTGTTACGGAGTACTGAAGTGGGAAAATCATACAGTGTTTTACCTCCTTTTTGTTTTTAAGTACTGTGTTGGAAAACTTCCAATATTTCTTAAGGAAACAGAATGAGTGGGCTAGTTATAAATTAGGACTTTTAGGATTCATGCATATCAAATTTCTGTTGATCATCAAATTAAAGTCTGTATTCAATTCTGTTTCATGCCATCTATTGCCTGTTTTGTTTCTGAACATCTGGCCAATTTCATCTCATTAAAAAGGAGCCCTCTCCCCAAGGGCTGTGTTGACAATTTTGATATCCACTGTCTAGTCTACTGTTTGATAGCCTCACCTTTTTTGTGGAGTACTGTGTTCATGTTACTCTGCTCACTCCTTTGGCGTATGTGAGGGAGCAGCTAGGATGAAAAGCACTGGACTGGAGCCTACCAGAGACCTGAGGTCAGACTCAGAGTCCAGCCTTGATGCTCTGGACCAGTCTAGAACGTCCACTGCTTCGAAGCTTACTTCTCCCATCTGTTAAATGATCTTTGAAGACTATGTGTGTGTGCATATATATGCATATATATAGTATATGCATATGTGTGTACAATATAGTTGGTACACATATGCATATACAATATAATTTGTGGAACTCCTTATAAATCCCAGTGAGTTATTCAGACATTGTTTACCATATTATTGCCATTACAGTCTACTCTTTAAGGAGGCATGAAAGGCTGTTAGAGTTGATCTAACCAAAGCCCAAAGTTGACTAATCATAACATGGGGCCACTTTCTGCTCGGTGCTGCTTTAAAACAATGGCTCTCAACCCTCCTAGTGCTGAGACCCTTCAATACAGTTTCTCATGTTTTTGTGACCCCCCTAACCATAAAGTTATTTTTGTTGCTACTTCATAACTGTAATTTTGCTACTTTTATGAATCATAATGTAAATATCAGTGTTTTGTGATGTTGATGGTCTTAGGGCACCCCTGTAACCCCCAAAGGGGTTGTAACCCACATATTGAGAACTGCTGCTTTAAAAATCTTGGTGCTTTAATCATGGGCAGCTATTACTGAGGTGATTGTCAGAGGAGATCGCTCATTGTCAGTATCATAGCTCTGTTGGAATTCTGTTTGAGGGCGAAGATGCTAGAGAATGTTAATCTGAGGTATTAATGCTGTATATATGTACATATGATGTGTGTGTGTATGTGTAATGTATATATATATACACACACGTATATAATACACATATACATGAGGAACTGTATTGAGTCACAGCACTAGGAGGGTTGAGAGCCATGATTTTAAAGCAGCATCTAGTAGCAAGTGTTATGATTAGTCAACTTTGGATTTTGGTTGGATCAAATCTAATGGCCTTTCATGCCTTCTTAAAGATATATATATGTGTGTGTGTGTGTGTGTATGAATATATGTATATATTATGTACTCACATATATGTATATAGTGTGTATATGTATTGTATATGTACAGTACTACACACATAAACATGTCCATCATCTAAAGATGCAAATAGTCTCTGAAAATGTTATTCCAGTCAAGTTAATAATTAGGATTAAAAGGAAGGAAACGGGAATGGTGTTTTTATTAATACTAAGAGCTCCTATTAAGTGTAATTTAAAAAAAAAATAGCTGAGCCACCACAGAACCTAAGAGGTAGGCAGTCACTATTCAGGCGTTAAGTGGATAAACACATAAATATAAGCTAATACATTCTGTTTATTGAAAACCTCCCTTGTGGAGCTGTGGCAGCTATAGGATAAAACATAGGTCTCCACCTTCAGGGACTTACTGTCTAGTAGGTCCTAGTAATACTCTTAACTTGTACAGTGGCTTAGAGGCTTCAGAGAACCTGGGGTTCTGTCCAAGTAAAAATATTTCTGTTGGAGCAGACTTTAACTTTCTGTTGTAGTTGTTCACCTGACCCATTAGCAGCTGTTTTCTTTCTCCCTGTGCTATTTTATGAGATAGACAGTTGCCACTAAGAGAGAGAATGCTCTCCAGCTGAAATGAGGTAGACTTGAAAATTATGAAAGCAAGTTAGCAATAATGAAAACTCCATAATTACTACACATGGAAGTTCCTGGACTTCCTGGTTGTGAGTCCCTCCTCCTGGTGCCCTTACACCGGTCAGTGCACTGGGCTTGCTGCTGAGCAATCTCATTGCAGGTGCTGCTTCTCCTGGGGAGGTGGGCTGCCTGTTGTGTGGTATCTAACTCCGGTTATGGATAGTTCTCCCCTACCACACTCTCCTCTTCCTTCTAAGACTTTAAAAGAGGAAGGTATTTAGATAAAACCATGTTAATTATAAAATGTGGACAGAAACATATTAAAGTATATTTCAAGCCTCTATATTTACAATTGTTACTTAAAAGAGTAAAGTAGAATAAGAATTTTAATTCACATGTGCACATCCAGTTTTCAGGAAATGGTTTTCTGTCTCTGTTTCTGGTAGTTGAAGCTCGCACCTCTTCATTGTGAACTTACAACACTTCCTGTGTTGGACTCCACTTGAAGTGATGCCTGAAGCTTACAGTGCAGTTGTGGACCTGACAGCATAGGGCTTTAGGACCGCCCTACATGAGACTTTCTTACCTGTTTTTCATGAATAGTCCCCTGGCCTTCCAGGCTCCTCTGGAGTTGCTGTTAGAAACCACGAGTCCTTCCCGCCCTCCTTTCCTCTCCAGTTTCCTTTTCCAGACTCTTGTCTACACAGCGCTGCCTCTGGAGGATTCATTTGGGTTGTTGTTCCTGCCTCTTTAATGATGTTTTCTAAGCCTGGCTTTAGATTCCTTTGGGCTATGTTTATTAAAGTCACTGGAGGCTGGCTGCCTTGATTGTACATGTGTTCTGCAACTGGAACTCCAGATTCCAGTGTCGCAATCTCACAGCCTGCAAGCATTTCTGTAATCTTGGTAGGCATTGACTTCAACAGTCTGAACCTGTCTGTCATAAAGGACCTAGGTACAGGCTCTGTATGTTTTAGATGCCCTTTGGGAAGGAGTGAGGATAATGAATAAATCAGTGTTCAGATAAACACTTAGGTCCATTATTTCTATAAACTACAATTAAACAGTTTGTCACACTCAAGTGTTTGTGTTTTATTTTTTTGCCTTTGGAATATTTAGAAGG